ATTATGACGAGGCGTTTCCGTCATCCGCCCCGCCACCGAGTTCTTTCCATAACAATAAGTCTGAAGTCTTTGTCGCTTGGATCCAATAGGGATGAAATAAAAATCGGTTTATGTTTAAATTCGTAAATGTATTGCACAATCATTGCAGAATTGACTACTGTGACCTGGAAGAATTTGCATTATACTATACGCAAATGCATGTCCACACATATTAATTCAATTTGCAAATGCATGTGTGTTTTGAAAGATAAACACTGACATTTGAAATAATTGGCATTTAATCCGTCAGACCAGTTCACACACCGATTTTCATTTCCTGTATTGATTCCAACAGGGAACCCTTTTAGAACGAAACACTACCCTCGTTATAGAGTTCAACTACTCGTTAATCGTTGGCGAGGCAGTTAAGGGGAGCATCTGGAACCGCTGTGTGTGTGTGTGCGTGTGTTGATAACGAACGGCGCTGATGAGCTTGTTAGTGAAGTGGGCGTTTCGCTTCGTTCGCTTAGGGTAGGCTATGTTAGGGTTGTTTATTTCTTTGTTCGTTTCTCTCTCTCTCTCTCTCTCTCTCTCTCTCTCTCTCTCTCTCTCTCTCTCTCTCTCTCTCTCTCTCTCTCTCTCTCTCTCTCTCTCTCTCTCTCTCTCACTCACATTCTCCTTCCCTACATCCCTGTTTCCCTTTCTCCCTTCTCCCTTCCTCCTTCACTCCCTCCCTTCCTCCTTCATTCTCTCCCTTCCTCCTTCGCTCCCTTCCTCCTTCGCTCCCTTCCTCCTTCGCTCCCTTACTCCCTTCCCTCACATACTCCCTTCCTCCCTCCCTCTCTCCCTTCCTCCTTCGCTCCCTCTTCCTCCCTCACTCCCTTCCCTCACATCCTCCCTTCCTCCCTTCCTCCCTCCCTCCCTCTCTTCCTCTCTCTTGAAAAGGCTTTCAATCAAGCGGCTTCTTTACGATTTGATGAGAGATATTGATGTAATAGAAATTGGAAAAATGTTTGGACCGATTGTTTGCGGGCGTGACACATCATCCATTATCATTTAATTTTCCTTTCCGTAATGAATCTGGGCGAGAAATCGGCGTCATTACCGTCAAATGCGGCGCCGGTTAAATGCTTTTGATGAGCATTTGAAGGGATATTTGTGAGTGTCGGGGAAAGGGGGTAGGAGGGGGGGTTGTGTGTGTGTGTGTGTATGTGTGTGTGTGTGTGTGTGTGTGTGTGTGTGTGTGTGTGTGTGTGTGTGTGTGTGTGTGTGTGTGTGTGTGTGTGTGTGTGTGCGCTTGCTTGCTTGGGTGTGTTTAGGTGTGGGTGATAGAAATTAAATGAAAGTACACCTGCATGTAAGAACGCACACGGACACGTACACCTAAACACCCACACACACACATGCACCCACCTCCAAGCGCCCACGCACCCACACCCTACTCACTCACACACTCCCCACACACGCACAAAACGATGAAGCTGGTACATTGTAATAGAAAGCACTGGACGTTGGATATTGGCCTATACGTCACAGATGCTACGCAAAGTAACGTTTGTAATACTGAACCTTACTGCACTGGGAACTACATCACGCGTGCCCTCTGTCGCAGATGGTCGTGCGAGCAACGTTTTGTAAGGGTTAGGTGGAGGGTGGGTGGAAGAAGGGGTGGAGGGACAGAGGTGGAGGTGGGAGTTAGGTGGAGGGTGGGTGGGAGAAGGGGTGGAGGGACAGAGGTGGAGGTGGGAGTTATGTGGAGGGTGGGTGGAAGAAGGGGTGGAGGGACAGAGGTGGAGGTGGGAGTTAGGTGGAGGGTGGGTGGAAGAAGGGGTGGAGGGACAGAGGTGGAGGTGGGAGTTAGGTGGAGGGATAGAGGCGGAGGTGGGATTTGGGTGGAGGATTGGGTGGAAGAAGAGGTAAAAGGGATGGGTGGAGTGGTAGCAGTTAGTTTTGAGGGGAGGGAGATGGGTGGAGGGGTGGGAGTTGGGGTAAGGGATGGATGAAGAGTGGAATTGGTTTGGGGTTGGGGGTGCGGGGGGAGTGAACGGGTGGAGGGACATAGATGGAGGTGGGGGAGAAAGGAGTGGACGAAAGGTAGGGGGAAGGATGGGGGATGGGTAGAGGACTCATGGGAGGGAAGGGGAGTGGGTGGAGTAGGAGAGAGGAGGGGAAGGATGAGGGTAGGATAGGAGGTGGGGTGAGGGGATCTGAGGAAGGAAATGGAGGAAATGCAGAGAAAGAGGAAGGATTTATTGAGAATAAAGATACTGATGGAAATATATATATATATATATATATATATATATATATATATATATATATATATATATATACATATATACATATATACATATATACATATATATATATATATATATATATATATATATATATATATATATATATATATATATATATATATATATATATATATGTATATATGTATATATATATATATATATATATATATATATATATATATATATATATATATATACATATATATCTATATCTATATATATATATACATATATATATATATATATATATATATATATATATATATATATATATATATATATATATATGTATATATATATATATATGTAGAGAGAGAGGGAGAGAGAGAGAGAGAGAGAGAGAGAGAGAGAGAGAGAGAGAGAGAGAGAGAGAGAGAGAGAGAGAGAGAGAGAGAGAGAGAGAGAGAGAGAGGCAGAGACAGAGAGAATTAATATTAATGATGAAGGTGATGATGGTACGGTGCAGGTACAAGGAGAGGAAGAGAAAAAGTAGAGGCAGGAACAAGAAAAAGAGGAAGGAAACAAATAAGAAGAGAAGAAAAAAAAAGAAGAGAAAGCAGGAGAAAAATGATAGAGGAGGAGGAGGGATAACAAGACAACAGAATAAAGATAAAAAGAAAAAGAAGACGGAGAAGGAGAGAGAGAGAGAAAATCAACAACACAGAAGACGAAAAAAGAAGAGTAAGAGAAAAAGGAAACGAAGGCAAGGGAAACAGGGCAAAAGAAAGATCTGCCGGAAGAAATGGACGGGGAATGGAGAAACCTGACGATAAAGGTGAAATAGAGGGGAAGTAAATTAAAGTCAAGAAAGGCAGAGGGGAGAACGAAGAAGGAAGAAGAAAATGGACTATGAAAGAGAGAGAGAGAGAGCGAGAGAAAGAAAAAAATGGAGCGATGAGAAGGAAAAGGAATCGAAAGCGAGAGATGAAAATGGAGAACTAAAAGAGAAAAGAAAGTCAGGAAGAATTGACATAGAAGAAGATAAAAGGAGAACTGAAATGAGAAAGAAAATCAAACACTTTGCACATAAAAAGAGATGTAAAGTCTGTATATGAAAGAAAAGTGAACTGAAATAGAACACGGGGAAATGAAGAGCCAGGATTCCCGTCGGAAAGGAAGAAAATGCGAAAAAGAAAAAGAAAACAAGGAAAACGAAAAAAAATGAAAACGAAATCTCCGATACTGAAAAATAATAAAAAAACGGATAAATAGACAAATAAAAAACAAAAAAGAAAAGAGAAAAACAAAACAAAGAAGACAAAAAAAACACACACACACAAAAAACAAACAAATGAAGACGAAGAAGAAGAAGAAAAAAAGAAAAAATAAAGAAAATCAATTTACCACAAGAAAACGAACGATCCTTTCCAGAAGGCCTGGGGGAGGGGGAGGGGTTGGGTACCGAAGACTAATGAATAAATAAACAGGAAATAATTGCTTTATTAAAGGTCTCACATAGCAGAGGGACGGCGAGAGCAATGACCTATCTTGCCCGCTTGACCTCTTGACCTCACTGCGATACCTGAGCCACAGACGAGATTGGGTCGTAACATTTCATATCAAAGTTTTTATGGAACGCTTTTTTTTTGGGTGGAGTTGGGTCAGGGGGGTGGAGGGGGGGGTAGAGGAGGGGGAATACCTAGTTGTGGTTGAGTTGTAATTCATTCATTTTTTCTTTTTTTTTTTTTTTTGTTTTCAATTTTGGAATTTTGTTTGCGTGTGTTTTGCTCTTATTTTTACTATTGTTGTTTACGTCGACTATACAGAATGAAATTATAGGAAATTGTTATGTGGATTAAAGTTTGCGTATAATTGAATTAGGCCTGATATTTCGGAACAAAGTGACGTAAATTGAATCTCACATTTTTTTTTTTCAATCGATTGCATCCTTTGTAATATGATTAGTTTTTCCGACTTTTCCAGACCATTTTTTAACTTCACAGGACTACTGATATATCCCATAACTTCGTAATACAGTCTTAAGTCATATCTTATTTGTTTAGTATCAACTATTTTCTTTATCTTTCTTTATCTTAAATTTTCACTTTTTTCGTTTCCAGACACAGGCAAGGTATAATTACAACCGTAGTGGTCAAAATAACATTTAATAAAAAAAAAAACAAACTTATAGCCTCACCATACTCATTTTTTCGCATTATTCTTTCTCCCTTTCCGGATACAAACAAGACCTCATTATAGTGTAGCGGCCAATATATTCTATTTTATATCTGGTTCCTCATTCTTTCACAATTTTCATTTTTCCACCATTCTCTCTGCAAATACAAACAAAATCGCTCTACAACTATACAGTGCTTAGCCCATTCCCTCACTATACTTCCTTCATCACCATTATCTCTCTCCTTTTTCAGATATAAACAAAATCTCACGACAGTTGTCCAACAATTACCCCTTTTCCCATACACGTTTCATCACCGTTTTCTCTTCCTTTCCAGATACAAACATCTCACTACAACTGTGCAATGATTGTCCAATTCCTTCGCCATGCTCCTTCCAGGGCCATCCCCCCCCCACCCCCCGTTACAGATATAAACAAAAACTCACTAGAACTATACAACAATCACCCCATTCCCTCACCATACTCTTTTCATCACCATGCCTTCTCCCTTTCCAGATATAAACAAAATCCCACAACAACATTGCAGCCATTACCCCTTTTCCCTCACCGTACTCTTTCCATCACCATTCTCTCTCCCATTCCAGATACAAACGAGTTACAACAGCAACTGCGCCGGCCAGTGCATTATGGCTAACCTTACGTTGTACTTCGCCATCAACTTCGCCGGCATGTACACCAAGTACCTCACGGACCGGACACAGCGGAAGGCCTTTTTGGAGACGCGAAAATCCATGGAAATGAGATGCAGGACACAGAGGGAGAATGAGAGACAGGAAAAGCTGCTGTTGTCGGGTGAGTATGAAGACCGAGAGAAGGAGAGAGATTGGGGTGTGTATACATATGTGTGTGTGTGTGTGTGTGTGTGTGTGTGTGTGTGTGTGTGTGTGTGTGTGTGTGTGTGTGTGTGTGTGTGTGTGAGTGAGTAAATATATGTATACGTATATTCATATCTGTTTATACTATATATACACATCTATATTTATTTCTGTTTATCTATATCTTTTTATTTATATCTGTATCTCTACCTGCATATCTAACTATCTTTGAATCTCTGTCTGGATCTATCTATCCAAACACTCATCTGTCTATCCACCTATCCTCCTTTTCATATGTCTATCTATCTATCTGAATCCCTCCCTCCCTCCCTTCCTCCCTCCCACCCTACTTACCTACCTTCCTCTCTGTCCACTTACTTATTAATCTATCTATCTATATTCTATAAGAGAAAGAGAGTCAGGCAAGAGAATTATTGCCATTCAGAAGTCCAAAGTGCCAGGAGATGTAACAACAACCACGGAGGCAGGAGAGGGAAGATGGAAATGAAGGCTGAGGTTAACCCTTTTCGGAGGGGAGATAAGAAAGAAAGATGGGAGGGAGAGAGGAGGGAGGGAGAGAGGAGAGAGGGAGGGAGAGAGGGAGAGAGGAGGGAGGGAGGGAGGGAGGAGGGAGGGAGGGAGGGAGGGAGGGAGGGAGGGAGGGAGGGAGAGAGGAGAGAATGAGGGAGGGAGGGAGGGAGGATGGAGGAGGGAAGGAGGGAGAGAGGAGGGAGGGAAGGAGGGAGGGAGGGAGGGAGGGAGAAAGGAGAGAATAAGGGAGGGAGGGAACAAAGTAGAGAAGGAGTGAAGGAGAGCAAAGCAGGAAGACGTAAGGATAGTGAGAGAGAGACAGGAAGATAGGGGAGGTGGGAGACAGGGAAATGGAGAAGAGGAGAGTAAATGTTGAAGTGAAAGGTGAGGTTTGGCGGAAAAGAAAAGAAAGAAGGAAGGGGGAAAAAAATCTTCAATAGAAAGAAGGCGTTGAGTGGAGATAGACTTATCGTGGCCGCACCTTTTAAAAGCATCGGATATTTTTTTATGAACGCTGAATGAAGTGCCCAGAATTTGAATATATAAAGATCCATTAGATAATAATTAAAAATAATCGTATCCAGGAAAACCATATCAGGGGAAACAAGACACGTAAAAAGAAACGGTTAGATAGATTTTGAATTTTGACCGTTATTTACGAGCGTTAATTTCAGGATGGTAACGCAGACCGCCCATTGAAGGATATTAAGATATGCAAATTGTGATTATACAAATGATGAAATATACAGAGCGTTATGAATTTCAAACTGATATGGCTACAGAATGTCAGAATCAGACTGGTTTAGAGAAAAAGAAAAGAATAACCAAATAGTGTTGAAAATGGCAAATTCTTTGATAATAAGAAAAAATATTTTTAGAATACAAAACACGCAGATTAAGTCATTAGGTGTCAGCTGATTAGAATCGAAAAGAGACTTGGTGAATCGGATTATTCCAGTAAGTTGCCAGTTTTTCATTTCCTGGTATGGACACTGCGCACGCACGCATGCACGCACGCACGCACGCACGCACACACACGCACGCACGCACGCTGACACACACACACACACACACACACACACACACACACACACACACACACACACACACACACACACACACCTTAACAAGCCACCAGATCAGTAAACAAAAGATAGACAGAGACGTACACACAGGTAAATCAATGAATATGGCCATGAATATCTTTAAGAAATAGATAGCTATGCCTATCCCTCCACCCAAAACCCACCTCCGTCTCTGATTCTATCCATATTCATATGTATATGTATATAAGCTACCTAGTAAAATAAAAAAAGGGATGAAAATAATTCGCGAACATTAAATTTTGCTCTATTTCATACGAAAATTTCACCTTTTGTCTCTCACTCTCTTCTAATATCTTTTCTTCTCTCTTCTCTCTCTCTCTCTCTCGTTTTTAATACTAGAGAAAACAAGGTAAATGCGAATAAATAGTCGATTATATAGATTAGTGATATATAAAGTGACTATACATGAATAAAGGAACAAGCTTTATTCCAAACGAAACAATGCATAAACGGAGCTTTGGTAAAAGAAATGAAAGAAAGAAAGAAAGAAAGAAAAAACACCTAATCATACATAATCCCCCCCTCACCCCCTCCCCTTAAAAAACAACAACTTTCAAACTAATTTAATGAACAGAACACGAAGGAGAAAAGTTCCTGAAGCAGTGGGAAACGAACAGAGGATGAACGGAGTG